GCTGTTTTTGAGAAAATCTCTTTTTTATTTTTTTAAAATTGCATATTACTTACAATATTGCGCGAAAACTACCAAAAGTTTAAATAAAAATGTACATCACCTCATTGAAAGAACTAAATATGGAGAACAAATTTCATCTGAAGGAAAAATATCTATCTTTAATTTTGTGATTGTAAGAAGTGGTCGAAAAAATTCGAACTTCAAATTTTCGAAAATTCAGAGTTAACCGTGAAAATTGGACCTACGCCACCTTTATAAGTGTATTTTACTCTATTCTTACAATAAATTTAAAGACAAAATTTGGAGAGGTTTTTGAGAAAATTTTGAAATTTCCCAGGGGCTTTAGTTAAAGTACACCCACATTTTAAAGAATATGGGTGTATCCTACGCTAGTGGTGTTCAAGGACGAACAGATGTTTTTGGTATCAAGGACCCGCCAAACGGTTTCTGGCTACATCAAGTGTTAGAGGATTTTTTTTCATTTATTTAGCAGGTAGATGTATCAACTTTTTCGTTACTTGGCCTGGCAATTAACTATTTTCTGCCTAAAATCTGTTGTTTCTTTGCACAGCATTACGGAACTTTCTCTATCTACGAAATTGCTTAAGGATATCAATATTTTGTTAGTTTTTACTTTCTCTTATATGTGCATATATATATGGTGTTATACACGTAGTTAGAGAAAGTTATGTGGAAAATCGATTTTGTTGTTGCTGTTCTTCAAATTGTCTGTCTGTTCGTTGTATGTGAAGCACATTCATGAAATTTTTAGTCACTTTACATGAAGCTGTTGGGACATTTTAAAAAATTTCTCAAAAATTGCTTTACAGTTTTTCTTTAAATTTGTTACAATACTGTGAAATACACATACGAAGGAATGAAATTTGTTTGGCGTCTTCCTAAAACTACAAATTTGAAGATAGAGATTTTTCTTCCAAGTTAACTTTTTTGCCCTTATTTAGTTCTTTCATGAAGGTCATGCAAATTTGTTTAAAACTTTTAGTAGTTTTTACGCAATCATAAAAAAATATCCAAAACAAGATTTTCTCAAAAATGCCTCTAACTTTTTCTTTAAATGTTTGGCAGGTTGACAATGGAAAAAGATTAATCAACCTACGTAAGGAACATGCACTATGTGTAGGGAATACGTTTTTCAGACATAAAAACATCCACAAATATACACGAATAGATCCAGTAAGAAATATTCAATCTGTAATTGATTGAATTGTGGTGAAGAATGAAAGAAGAGTAAAACTGAATGATGTGAGAGTTTACCGTCAACCAGAATGTGGAACTGATCATCATATGGTAGTGAGCAAACGTGTTTTTCCTTTTAGAAATAAACGAAGATGTACTGAAAAAGATACTGACTCTTTAATTGAAGAAAACGACGTAAATTTTAAAACAGACCTTTTAAAACAATACAGCGTTGAGATGCTCCACCAAAACAGAATTAAGAATAAGCGAGAAAATCAGAAAATAAAAGTCCCGAAGAAGTGTACAATCATTTAAAAGAGGCTGTTTTTGAAGCAGCTAAGGAAG